GCTGATTAGCCAATGGGAAGGGTAGCGAAGTTACGGTTAATTACCGTGTTTCTCTATTATTAGATAGGACTAGTAGCCCGGTGCACAAAAATTTGTGCACTCGGGGGTGAGGGTGAGGGTGAGGGGTGGGGCCAGACCACTCAGCCCGACCTGCACCCTCTGTCATGTTCCTGGACCCCGGGCACTCCTGGCCTAGGCACAGGCCTACAGGCTTGGGGTGGCCTGGCTCCCGAGGCCCCATTTTATCAAGAGAACAAAGTCGGCATTAGTTACAGCCCTCACCGAACCCAGTACAGTGCATCTGTGCATATAACTGCCTTGTTCATGTGCCTGCTTCGCCCTACTGAATTACTAACATCTTGAGGACATAGCTCTGTCTTATCCTGCTTCACCTTCAGTGCCTGGCCTGGTGCCAGGGACCTGAGAGGGTTAGCACCCGCCACCCCGGGATCCCCACAGGAAGGCCCTTTGTGGGCATGGCCAGTGGCAATCGGTGCACTAGCACCCGCCAACCCAGGATCCCCGCGGGAGGGCCGTTTGTGGGCGTGGCCAGTGGCTGGTCGGTGCATTAGCACCTGCCAGCCAGGGATCCCCGCGGGAGGGCCATTTGTGGGCATGTCTGGTGGCAGATCGCTGTGGTCCCACCGGCCAGCCCTGGATCGGGTCCCATACAGGCTGCCTTTCGCCTGGGTCGCAGATAGCAGGCCCGGATGGCAGCAGGGCAGGCGGGATGGCGCTGTCCCGCCCTGCCTGTAGTATGCACGCCATCTTGGTTGGCAGTTAATTTGCATATCACCCTGATTAGCCAATGGGAAGCATATTGGAGGTACGGTTAATTACCATGTTTGTCTATTATTAGATAGGATTTATAAATTAGGCACAGGAAGAGATTAACAATAATAGCTAACAATAAATAATGATAACTATTTTAATTACTTGCAGAACTGTCTCAGATATTTCACCCTTTTTAAAAAAATTTTTTTAAATTGATTTCAGAGAGGAAGGGAGAGGAAGAGACAGAAACTTCCACGATCAGAGAGAATCATTGATCAGCTGCCTCCTGCATGCCCCCTACTGAAGATCGAGCCTACAACATGGGAATCTGCCCTTGACCGGAATCGAACCTGGGGCCGTTCAGTCCATAGGCTGATGCTCTATGCACTGAGCCAAACCAGCTAGAGCTCAAACATTTCACTCTTAAGAAAGATGCTGGCTTGCCCTGGCTGCTTTGGCTCAGTAAATAGTGCGTTGGCCTGCGGACTGAAGGGTCCCAGGTTCGATTCCGGTCAAGGACACATGCCCAGGTTGCGGACTCGAACCCCAGTGTGGGGTGTGCAAGAGGCAGCCGATTGATGATTCTCTCTTATCATTGATGTTTCTATCTCTCTCTCCCTCTTCCTTCCTCTCTGAAATTAATTTTAAAAAATGAAAAATTTAAAAAAAAAGAAAAATGCTGGCTTTGGGGCTAAAATAGCTAACTATATAAATAGATAAAATGTTTTCATTTTAAGGAAGTATCCATTGGTTCCTATGTGGGGATGTGTTTAAAACAAGACAGTTGAATATTGTCAAATACCTATCAGCATCTGAAAATGGCCATATAACTTTCTCCTTAGATCTACTAATAAGTTAAGTTATGTTACTGATTTCCTTATTTTAAAGCATCATTGCCTTCCTGGTATAAGCCCCTTTAGTCATTATATTATTCTTTTAATGTAGTTAGATTGTATTAGCTAATTATTCATAACTTTACTAATTTTTAATCATGCAATTCCTCAATTTTTTTCCATCAACATTGTGTTTACTTTAAAACTTTGAATTTTTTTCCTAAGCCAAATAGATTTGGAAATGTCTCCTCTTCAAAGGTTTCCCACATTTCCTTGTGGAATCATCTAGTACTGGTGGTTTTGGAAAAGGCAGATCTTTTGATGTCTTTTGATATTTCTTACATAGAAGTATTTTTTGTTTGTTTTTTATTGATTTTTTTTACAGAGAGGGAGAGGGATAGAGAGTTAGAAACATCGATCAGCTGCCTCCTGCACACCCCCTATTGGGGATGTGCCCACAACTAAGGTACATGCCCTTGACCAGAATCCAATCTGGGACCCTTCAGTCCACAGGCTGCCGCTCTATCCACTGAGCCAAACCAGCTAGCGCAGGACAGTTCCTTTCTTATATCTGTTTTATTCTTTTCACCCAGGGTTAAATCTAGAAGCTGAAGTTATATATTTTGGTGTATACTTGTTTGTACTCTGATTGGCTATGTATACAGCCCAGCTAGTAGGAAAGATGTATCTGTTATAGCATTCATCACATTTCAGGGCAATTATCTTTTTGTTTTTAATTTTGTTACAATCTTTTCCAAAAGACTGTAAGTTCTTAGCAGCAAAGACAGTGTCTTTTTCATCTTCCATAACAACCGATGTTTAGTAAATGTTGTTGAATAGATGAGTGAGTTAATTAACAACTTTCTTGAGAAACACCTTAGGCCACCTGATTAAGAGGAAAACCAGCAGCCCTCCAGGCCTTTTGACTTTTCTACAAACACTTCTGGAAAATTCACACCCAGTGAGTTCTGACTAATAAAGCCCTCTCTTTCCTGTGGTTGCAGAAATATACACCCAATGACCTCCGGACAATCACTTAACCTTTCGTACTTCTGGGAGAGAAAAGCAATAAGTCCGTGACACAGGGATATTGTACAATGTAATTGGATCTTTGAGCACCCTGGCAGGAAGCTTAAAAAACAAAACAAGAAAAGAGAGGAGAGAAAGGAGAGAGAGGAGAGA